GAGAGAGAGAGAGAGGCAAGGTTTTTCTTTTCTAAAAAATATTAGAACTCCTGTGTGTTTGTTCGTATAGACAGAAAGCCCTTCTGCAATTTTCCTATTGAAATGAAAGAAGGGGACATAGTTGCTACCTATTGCTTTCCATTTAAAGAGTTACATGTTCTGGGGTTTAGTACTTCTGCTTCTGCACATTTGATGTATTTCTTTCATTATTCACCACAATTTGCCCGGTGCTGTATGTCTTGACTGCACAGTCTAATGTCTAAGATACCTAAGGAATCATGTGTTTAGAAAATTTTGGGATTGTGATGGTCTATAGCTTATAAAGCTTCACAATGTTTTTGCCATGATAGTTGTACGGTTCGCTGCTCCTTTTGTTCAAATGCTTATTTACTATTGTGATTCAAATACTCCATGAATATCCTCCAAATCAATCAATTTATTTGAAGTTGTTTTATGCTCATCTTCTTTCTTTCTTAGCAGCTCTAAAATAATTTTTTGAAATGAATAATTATATATGGTTCTTTACCCTATGAAAACTATTAAGATCCATGAATATCACGGCACCATTAAAAGGTGATCGATTAAATTATGTTCCTTCCCTGTACTATTTCTCATACAGACATCACACTAGAGGATAGTTTTAGGACACTCTTAGAACAAGAATAATTGACATCGTTATTTTAATTACTGCCTAGCTGATTTTTACAATATTGAATACATTGATAATTTGACTGTCGATTCACTACAATTATATACCATGTAATGAGGTGCAGTCCATGGGAGAAGTTACCTATGAACTGAAGGATCCTGCTCTATGTTACATGGTCATGAAAGTTCCAGAGGATTATTGTTCTCTTGCCACTAACATCTCAAAATGGTTGGGAGAGGTTGAAAAGTGTAAGGTGAATAAGCTTTCTTTTAGAGCTTGTCTGTTCGTGGATTTGTGTAAACTGATGGTTTCTTCTTGCATGCATTGAGATCGTGCTTTGTGTAGGTGTGGAAATTGAACACCATGTACAACATCGGCTCCTTTGCCGCAAAATTGTGTAAGAAAACTGAAGGATGCAGTGATACACTTCATACCCCTTGCTTGCAAAGAATGATTTTGGGGTATTTCACCTGTGATTCTGAGAGTCAGCATGATGAATTCCCAAATAAGGCACAGCAAAGCAGGTAGAAATAGATTCTTTCTTCAATTGTTATTATGCATTGTTGATGATCGATAATTGTCTGGGTATGCATTAGTTTCTGGATCTTAGTCTAATATTTAGCAACATATTCAAATGTCAAGTTTCTTTTAGTCTTCTTGCTTAACAGGTCTTCCATTTGTTATGTAAACTTTTCCTTCTGCATTCTAGTTGCTTCTTTATTGTTAATTGAGCCCAAACATAAATTTAATAAAATATATGTTTTTTTTAACTTGAATTACTAATTTATGCTTTGTAGTTTGCATTGTGTTCACAATCTATTGGTCAATTTCACTGTCCTAATATTGTGCATGCAAATAACACATTTTAACAATGAGCAATTGAAATAAATGGCTTACTTAAAATTATTTGCCCTCTTCCTAGCTCATATCCATTGTTGATTGAAGGAAAAACTAAGGGAAATTTATCAAATTACCCATGAGAGATGAACAATTTAACCCTTTACCATGGTCTTGAGTTGGAATAGTTCTTCATCCCCTATGGGTGTTTTGACGAATCTCCCAAAAACTAGTGGCCCACAACAGTGGGGTGCTGGCCTAGGCAACAGGAAGTTTTGGTAATTCTTTTTATCAGTGTTGTGGTCATTTGTCCGAGAGATAAAGGATACATCGCTGTTTTGCAAATTACTGTGAGATGCTCTAGAATCTCAGAATGGTATGCATTGTGCAGGATACTTAGAAAAGAACAAATCACTGGTCTTTATCACTATACATTGTGTTTCTTATTTAAAAATGCACAATAGCTGGACATAAATAATGCAACAAATGTGATAGTTGATATTAAGTCTAAATACATTGGTTGATGTGATTTATAACTCTTGCAACAATTGACTCACCCCATTCTTTGAACTGGGAATGCAGCCGATTTTTACGAGCAGATATAAAGGTGAGAACTCTATCATTCCAGTTTTGTTTCTAAATATAATATTCAGTGCTTGCTTAACTTCCTATAGATCTATTACTTCCATTCTTTTGGATTCAGGTTTTTTTGCAGAGCAACTCGCATGCTAAGTTCACACCAAGGTCAGTTGCAAGGATACTGCATGGGATCTCCAGTCCAGCCTTTCCTTTGGCAACATGGTCAAAAAACCATTTCTGGTCCGTACAAACTGAACCGACTCTTTTTCTCTAACACTTGAACATAGCAAACATGCACGAGAGAGGGAAAGACTAAAAGTTACAACGGATTCCTCATATTTTGGTTGTTTCAACAGGGGAAGATATTCTGAAATAGACTTCATTGCAGTCAAAGAAGCTGCAGCTGCAGAGCTCATGACTTTTGTGGGGAAAGCAAGCATGTAATCATTCATTAGGGAAAATTGGTGGAAACTTCTTTATTAGCTGAGTGGAGCTCTTGGAATAAATTGTATCGGCTTTAGATTTATTTATGATTGTCTATGTGCATGTGAATTCATGTACTCTGTGTCATTCTTTGGAAGTAGCTGACTTCTTGTATGTAACAAAGTGGAAATACTCGTGTGAGCCAACTTGGACTCGCCCGAGTAACTCGGACCCACTACCTTGGCGAGTCCTAGTATCCCCGAGTTGGGCTCTATGAATTAACAAGGATCTATTGGAGGGCAAGTCTGGTGCCAGCAGCTGCGATATCCAATATTGTATATTTAAATTGTTGCAGTTAAAAAGCTTGTAGTTGGATCTTGGGTTAAGAAGGGTGAGGACTTTAAACTTTCCCTTAATCTGCCGGATAAAAGAGTTGGGTTGCGTTGGCTAGGCAACCAACCTAAAACTTTGCCATAGGTATCAATGAATCCTGAATTGATATTAGTCGACTCCAATTAGTTGGGAAAAGATTTTGATGATGATGAAAAATTAGATAGTTCAAATCAAGTAGATGTATAAACACATAATGGATGGTCCCAATAATGTGTTGCAAGAGGTACTATTTTTAGAATTTGAAATCTCGTTTTGCACCATATATGTCCAGATGATCAATTAGATGTTTTCTCAACATCAAAATAACCTTTTTCGAAGGAATTTAAAAGTGCACCTTAATTTTATATTTCGATGTGTAAACCTTAAATCTTTTTCCTTTAGAAAGGGTGTGGTTTGTATAAGGTTGCAGCCTTAAATGATTAAAATAAGGTGCATTTCCAAACTGTCATAAGATGCAATCTTAATGTCGAAAATTCTTAAGATGGTGGCAGACTCTATTTTTATTTCTAACTATAAAATTTTAAACTCTAAAAAATGGTTCAAATCAAGCAGATCAATAAACATAAAAATAATCTTAAAAATGGATGGTCTAAATAGTGTGTTGCAAGATGTTTTATTTTTAGGATTTGAAATCACTTTTTTCCTCTATAATTACGCATTTCCGATGTTGAGATGATCAATTAGATACTTTTGCAATGGCAAATCAACCTTTTTCAAAGGAATTTAAAGGTCCACCTTAATTCTACATTTCAAGGTGTCAACTTTATATAAACTTTTTCATGGATGAAAATATTAAAAATGGATGGTCCAAATAATGTGTTGCAAGATGTTTTATTTTTAGGATTTGAAATATCTTTTTTTCTCTATATCCATGTATCTCGATATCGAGATGATCAGTATATGTTTTTCCAATGTCAAACAACTTTTTCTGAACGAATTTAGAGTTGTACTTTAATTCTACGTTTATGGTGCCAACTTTATGTAAATCACACCCATTATGAAGGAAAAAGTTTACATAAGGTTGCAACCATAAACAATACCTCCAAACTTTGTTAAGAGATGCAATCTTGGTGTAAAAATTTTAAAGGATGATGCCAGAATCTATCTAATTATAAAATTTTAAAATTCAAAATGGTTCAAATCAAGCAAATCTATAAATATATAAAAATCTTAAAAATAGATGGTCCAAATGATGTATGCAAATAATGTGTTATTGTGTGACATAGTATTCCCTAGATAATCAATCCGGTGAATACATATGTGAATTATTACTATGTAACCATCAAATAAAATGATTAGGGCATTTTCCCCTGCATATCCAATGCTGTATACCATTACATTCCCCGCTCGCCCCCTCCAAAAAAAATTTAAAAAGTTCTCCTTATCAAACCAGCTAATTAGTATGAGGAAAACAATTAGTAGTGCTGCATGTAAACAAACTAAACTCACATAAGCGAGAACACATACCACCACTTTGACCTATTATACAAAAATAAAAAAAATTACAAATTAAGAATTTATATATTAAATTGAACTGACTAAAAAAAAAAAAACTTTTATGTGGGTGCTTCGAAGAAGATGCCCAAGCAAATCAGCTGCTCCACAAATGGACCTCGCGACAAGATTATGTGCGGCCGCTATGTTGTGGTCGTACCAAGCGTTCATGAACACCATCATGGCATTAATGAAAGCGAGGCTAAAGGTGTAGACCTGTGGTATTGGTCTACCCCATTGCTGGAAAACATGGCCCAAGAGCGGAACTTGGCCTTGGGCCGGGCTGGCTAACTTGGACCAAGTCTCCCTAGGCCAAAAAGTTGTTAAAAAAAAATAAAAAACTACAAAATAGTTTAAAAAATGATAATTATATTTAAATTAAAATTAAACAAAACACTTCTAATTGAGGTTAAAAAATCAGTCAAAAAAGATATTTTTAAAAATCAATTTGTGTCTAAGGGTATTATAGAAATAATCCAAACAGAAGAAAAAATGTAAAAATAAGTATTAATGCCAAAATATTTTTCAACGTGTGAAAATGTTAGAAAACATAAAAAACATATTACAAATTAATTTCTTATTTTTAAAATTTTTAACATTTTTTTTATTTTAAATGCCCAGCTTGACCACCAAAATTGACAAAAACTGTATCACCATTGGGCAGGTCTGGGAAACCCGGTTTTGGACTGGGACAAAGGTGCCCAGGTCGAAAGGAAAAGGGGGCCGAATCGGGGGAGCCCTGTCGTGGCCGTGACCCGGGCCAAGCCCTGGCCCGGCCCTTGGACCACATTTGTAGTCAAGGCCGCAATTATTTTGGGCGTTCCATTTGAATTCCACGTTCATTCTCGACGTCGCCGCCCACTAATGTTGTTCATCCTTCCGCATACACAATAACAATCACTTGGTCCATAATGATGTATTCGTCACTTTCAGTTTCCTTAGCAGTCAATCTCCTTTTTTCGATGTGCACGCCATATTAAAAGCAATTAGATGATACTTATTGACTCTTAACTCCTAATTCCTCATAATAACTTTTTTTATAAGTACTTTTTCATGCCATTTCCCCATAGGAAAAAGTTTATATTGAGCGGAGGCTCTAAACAATCAAATTTGATCTTACTTAAAAAATTTCATTAGAATATGTTGTTTTGATGTTCAAATATCCTCAAATTGATCATCTCAGCATCAAGATGCATAGACATGAGAAAAAATAGATTTCAAATTAAAAAAATAATGTATTTTGTAACGCATTTTTAGACCATCGATATTCAAGATTTTCAAGTTTCCATAAATCTATAGATCTACACAATGTTTTAAGCTTTAAACTCTATAAATAAAAATTAAAATATACTTTAAGGCTATCACAATGATTTCCAGTATTGAATCCACATTTCTCGACACTATTTTAAGCTAGGCTCTAATTTGATTGTTTAGAGCCTAGACTCTATACAACCGCACCCTTCACCGAGAGACATATGGTACGCGGGCCTATCAGAGAGTGTCAATCTATCTTCTTTACATAAGAATCTAGAGCTTCATAGGTCAAGCTTTATTTAAATATTTCAACCACTGGATCCCACACTTGTCCTCCAAGCACCCATTTGTTAGATGTAGTTTATTTCTTTTTTTTGAAAAATTATTGTACTTGCATATTTTTAAGGGAATTTGGTATTTAATTACGAAACTGTCCATTCCATACCCCATCAATATTGCCAATCCGTGAGTAGTTTGTTCATCATAGATCCACCAATATTGCCAATCTGTGAGTAGTTTGTTCATCGCATAACACTCATGGCTTTGTTTTCTACATATTTACTTTTAATTGTGAAAATACTTCATAACATCTTAAGTCCTGTCTAAAATTCTCTTATCTTAGTTACTTGCATCAATGAAAACTAAAGTATCATCAGCATATAATAAATGAGTGTAACCTGCCCCTATTATAAAATCTTGAATCCCGAGATGAGCCTGATAGCTTATTCCTCATCCAACATTATACTGAAAGATTCAGCCAAAAAAGTAAACACAAAAGAAGAAAGAAGATCTCCTTGTTTCATTATCATCATTACCATAGCTGTTTTTTTCCAATAATTCCAACTTTTTGGGGTTGGCTACACAAATGTTGATCTGTCAGTCTGCTCTATCAGGGCTCATACCTTTAGTGAGATCATATGTTATCATATCATTTCTGACTACTTTCGACCATAACCTTTTGGTTCTATACCTTGTCTTTTTTTAGCCTTCCACATAAACTAACTCATACTTCCTAATTGGTATTGTACTGGATCTGCCCTGTACATGGCCAACCCACCTAAGTATACTTTATCCTGGATTATTGTGTATTGGAACCACATTTAAATTCTCCCAAAAAAACAATATCTCCTTGTTTGATTTCTTGAAAAAGAAGATCTTGTTGTTTGATTTCCGTAATGGCCCGAAATAAAACCCACTAGGCTTACCATTGATGATAACTAAAAAAATTATTACACCCCATGATCAAGTATCTCCACTTGACATGAAAACCTATTTTCCCCGCGGCCCTTCATAGAAAATCCCAATCTACTCGATTGTAAGCCTTCTCTAAGTCTTGTTTGTAAATCATAACAAATTTTGATCCAACTTCCTTGAGGGTATACGTTCTTGTGCAATCAACACATTCTTTGTAATTTATCTCCCCTCATAAAAGCTGACTACAGTTTCGAGGCCACTAAAGGCGACACCACTCTCGATCTAGTCACTAAAAATCTTTGGAATAATCTTATACAAATCCTTAACTATTCAGTGTTCTTGTCATACTCTTTTTAAGGAATCAAAGCAGCAAAATTACAATTAATTGCTTATTTTTTTGGGTAGATAGAATTAATTATTTAATAACTTTATTTACCTTCCCGTAATTGAAAAATTCGTGCCCCATTAAATAAAGGACACGGTTTCTATGCGGTCAGCCCGCATATTATAGAAATGTGGGCTTGGCAATACATATATTTTTTAAATATAATTTGATGCTAATTTTTAGAGAATATATAATCTTTAACATTAAGATCATAGATATGAAAAAAAAAAAAAACAAAAATAATAAACAAGATAAAAAACTGGAACTAATAATTGTATTAGGAAAACATTTGGACTGTTAGTTACACTTGTTTTTAGATCGATCAGCTACTTGCATTTATCTTTAAAATAGATGCTTTATACATCCAGACCGCATATTGTAGAAATGCGGTCCAGCCCGCATGAAACTATTTT